ATGATAACTACAATACATTGAAAATAATTGCTCGTTTAGACAGCGATTTTGAAAGTGAAACCCCTTTTTAATATATATATATATATAAGCTTTTCCGCCCCCAAACATTAACTTAGCAATTACTCCATTTTTTCTTAAGAATTTGACATTTTGAGAGAAACGTTTTATAAACTTACCATTCAAATTTGGTTATTACTTTAAAAGTGCATCATTTTATAATTAGATAATAATGTTTGTGTGCATAAGTTAAAGAATTACTACAAAACAAGAATCTATATTTTCCATATAAACCCAAAATTAGGCTATAAAACATCAGAAAGTATCAAATAAATGAAGAATTAAGAAAATTATTGTAGGATTGGTCTATTTTAATATTCAGGTTTGTATATATAGTATTCTTATGTACAGGTTGTTGTATAGTTTCATTTTGTATATAGTTTATAAAGATAGATTATATACATAAGAGTTTGTGAGCTGCTGGTATAGTATAAACCGGTTAGCATTTTGGTTGAGAGTGGCTTATGGTTTAGGCTAGGTCTTTGTATTTAAACCCACAATTGTACATTTGAGATTAATTAATTAGGTTGAGATTTGTCTTGAATACTTAATTTTTCTACAAAAATATCAACCTAATTAATTTCAGCATAGAGTTATATCGGGTTTTTTTTGTTTGGATAAAATCTAAAAAGGATATAACTGATGACGTATGCACGATTGAGATGTTATTGGTTTTTCAGTTAAATGGTTTATGTATGATTAATTGTACGCAAGACATGTAGCATGGTCATTTCGTAAATGAGAAACTCAGGTGGCTTGGCCAGTGAATGCGAGGGTGTCTAGACCAGTGATGTTAAGAGGACCAGACCGACAAGCCGTGCATGAAGTTGTTCATGCATATATTAAGAAGTGTTTGCTTGTTTTGTATGGTTTTTGTCAGAAAAGGATGTATGCATATATGATGAAAGGAAAATCAGTTAATTAATGGTTGAGTTGTTTTTTATTTATCATATGGTTTATGAACGATTGAGTTGCTTTTGTACGTATCGTTAGTTGCCTATTT